TCTCTCTCTCTCTCTCTCTCTCTCTCTCTCTCTCTCTCTCTCTCTCTTTCTCTCTCTCTCTCTCACACACACACACACACACACACACACAGTAAGAGCAGTGGGAAGAAAGACGTTTATCCCTCTAAGGCTAGGGATGAAACCCAGTCCTTCATATATGTACGTATGCCATATGCTGCCTAACTCTACCCCCAGCCCTCCATATATGTTATTTTTCTTTAAAGTAACTGACCTTCTTTCTCCCAAGTTCTATCTGCAGCCCCACCCCCACCCCCCAGGTCCTCCTCTCCTGAGGAAGCTCTGAGCTGCACAGTACACACCCAAGTTCGAATGGCTTTCTTTTGTCACCATTTAGGAGATCAGGGTTTAGGGGAAGTCATAAGGAATTTATAAATTCTTATCAAATATACAAAGTAGAGAGTCAAGGACAGATGGGAAGTCACTCAAAAAAAACTTGGCTTTTTCAAACGTGGTTTTCCAGCACTGAGAATTAGCTTCCCACGTTAGGTGTGTCAGTTCTGTACAGTCTCTGGAAGCTGTTGGTGACTTTCCTGTATAACCAACAGGGCTATCCAGAGGGGACATTCCTGCTCGGAGTCCAACAAAGGACAGGGAAGTGAAGAAAACAGGGACCTACAGGTAAAGGTGGCAGCTTTAAAAACAGGCAGACTGTGTGACTCTGGTCCAGTCACTCTGGTTATTAGATTTTTCAACCAACAGTGAAAGAAAATGAAAGGCTTCTCATTTCTCCTTGGTTCTGAAAGTTGCATAACTCTAACCTACATCTAAATTCTTGAGAAAAGTACAGACTACTTAACAACCCATAGAGGGTAAAGCAGAACCCTGGCTTGCTGATGCAGCTGGCAACCCCAGCATTTAGGAGGCAGAGACAAAAGCTTTGGTGCCATTCTGCACTATACAGCAAGACTTGTCTTTTTTGTTGTTTTTTGTTTTTTTTTTTAAGTGGGAGAGGGTGTTTCTGAAACGCAGTCAGTCACCTAACTGTGGCCCAGTGTCTGTGTATCTGAGGGACCTACACAGGTGTTTTCACAAGTCTCACCCCTACTTCACAGTGAGGCAGAAGAGATTAATCACCCAAAGACCCAACACATATCAGTCAGGGAAAATTCTATAAACCATAATATTTAGCTGTTTCAAATTATTTTCCCACATCTTCTAAATACTTTAGACTTTCATTTACAATTTCAGGGTCACACTAGCTAGGCGACACCTGGATCAAGACACTCTATTTTAGGTGTTACCGTGAGGAAGCTTCTTTATGTTGTGTTCTGACTAGAGGTCACCCCTGGATGGAGCAGGGCCTAGGTGAGTCCATCAGTATGCAGGGTGGCAGGGAAATGTTCTCCAACTGTTCTAGGCCTGGTCTCTCCTCCAGGTGAGGTAGACTCTTGTTCTTTGTGGACGAGGCCCAGTGTCACAGGAGGTGGCTCCCTGCTCTCACAGACCTTGATGTCACACCCTTCACTCACCTGGGTCAAACCGTAGAACCAAGAGACAGAGGATCAAGGCAGCCAGGAGGCCCTTTCTGAAGGGCTGGGAGAGGAGATGGCTCACCGCAGAGCCCCAAAGCCGTCGAAGCAGGATCAGCAGTGATAGCAGCTTACGGGAGAATGAACCTGGCAAGGGGACAGAGCATCATCGCAGGGTGAGTCATGCAAATCAGATCTGAAGAGTCAATCCAAACCAGATGAGAACAATTTCCTTGCACAGTTCATTAAATAGTTCAAAAGAAAATACTGAAAGCTCAAAAACAAACAAACAAACAAAAAACAAACAAACAAAAAACAAAACAAAAAACAAAAGGCACCGTTTGCTCAGGGGGTTGGTTTGACTTTGCTTTTGTGGTGCTGAGGCTGGGTCCCAGACTTTGTAGGTGCTTGGCAAGTATACTACCACTGAGCTGTATGGATCTTTGTGACCTGGCAGGTCCACAGCTATCCAAGATGGTTTAAGGACAGGCTATATGAAGATGCAGTCAGTGCATACAAGACCCATGCATCTGTGTAAGCATGCTTCATGTTACGAACTGACTTGTGTAAAGTAAGTCAGAGCCTTACTTGTGACACATTAACACGGAGAAACAGAGGGCCTTTAATATCTGCAGTAGAAAACTCAAGACTGGGATTCTGAATGAGATCATGAATCCCAGCAGTCCAAAACCAAGCGATGCCTGTCCTGACAGGACCTCCTGGACTTGTCACACAGGTTACGGTTGAGCTCATTCTCATGTCTAGAATTGTTTGGGGAGAGAGAACCTCTACTGAGAAAATGCCCCTACCAGATTGCCCATGGGTAAGCCTGTGGGACATTTTCTTGATTAATCATTGATGTGGCTGAGGCTATCCCATGGGGGAGTGGTGAGGGACAGGACCATCCCTGGGCTTAGGTCCTGAGTTGCATAAGAAAGCAGGCTGAGCAAGTCCTATGGAGCATGCCAGTAAGCAGCACCCTCCATGCTCTCTGCATCTGCTCCTGCCCTGTCGCCTTTAGTGATGGACTGTGCTGGAGAATGTAAGATGAAATAAACTCTTTCCTCCTCAAGTTGCTTTTAGGCGTGGTGTTTTATCACAGCAGTAAAACCTAACAAGACAATGGTGGTGGGCTTGGACATCCCCCAAAATCACAACCTGCTAACAAAGAAGTGACTCTATCCCAGCAGGATAGATTTGGAGGTGTACTTTGGAGAACATGATTACAGTTTCCTGATTAAAATAATAGGCTTTCCTGTATATTTTAAAAAGAAGAAGCTTTAACAATCCCTAAGCTGTCCAAAGACAGAAGGTGCTGGAAGAGTGGATACAGCTAATTGTTCTTCTAGTTCTGCTCTGAAATGGTTATTTTGTTTCTGGTGGTGGATAAGCACATAAAAATGTATTTGATATAAAAGTATAATTCCAGTGTGAAACTCCACGGCTTCTCTTCCAAATGGCTATTCAAACTGCATAGAAGTTCACTAAATTGTACAGTCTTTCAACCTGATAAATTTCTGTGTTTTGGTTTCGTTTTCTAATTTCCAACCATTTTTGCCATATCTAAATTCTTGTTTATTTATTCCACCACACAATAAAGTGATATCATAGCAAATAAAAGGGATGCACCCTCTTTTTTATAACCAAGCTTGCACACACACACACACATACACACATACAGAGACACACACAGAGACACACATGCACACACACACATACACACACACACATACACACACATATACACACACACATGCACACACACAGAGATACACACACAGAGACACACATACACACACACACATACACACACATACACACACATACACACACACACATACACACACATACACACACACATACACACATATACACACACATATATACACACACATGCACACACACAGAGACACACACACATATACACACATACACACACATACACACACACACACACACACATTATATGTTCACTTCCTGGAACCCACATTGTGGTTCTCACAACTGCCTGTAACTTCTGCTCCAGAAGGATCTGATGCCTCTGGCCTTCATGGGTACCTACACTCACATGCACATATCCACACACAGTCAAATGCACAGACATAATTTAAAATAAAATTTATCTTCTTTTAAAAATTAGAAAGCCCTGCTTCAGGAGACAGGTGATTTTCTAGCCCTGGAAGTCTTCACACACAGACTGAGGTGAGAGGGACTGAAAGGCCTGAGCAGGAGGGCCAAGGGCCTTTAAAGTTCCTGGAACAGAACAACCCCACTCCCAAGTCTGCTCCACGGCCTTGTAAGGACAGTACCAGAAGCCAGTGGTAGCACAACTGTATGCTAAAGAACAAGGCAGCCCTCAGCTGAGAAAACAAAACACTCAAAAGCTCTAGATCAGTGAAGGCAGATGGACTTAGAGCAGAAGAAGGCCATCTTTATTTCATAAGTTACAGAGTTAAGTTCCGTGTGTATTAAGGACAGTGTTTGAAGGAGGGATAACAGCTCCACACCAGTGTGATGGAAGCAAAAAATCTATCGAGAGGATCCCAAGGAGGTGATGCCTGATCAGACCCCAAAGGGAAGTGACTTTTCAAGAGACAAGTCAGGGTCAGGAGGCCCTGCCCCACCTCCCCATGTGAGACTCTCCTTCCACTCTGCCTTCAGAGTCTTGCTTAGTTTGTATACAACACAGAGTCAGCCTTACGTTCCTAAGCTTAAGAAACCCAGGAATGTACAGGGGGTGCCAAGGGACCGCTCTGCAGCAGCCACAAAGCCCCGATGTCCTACCTTCCTGGCTCAGCTTCTGGGGCTCTTGGGAGTTCGAGTGCTCCTGCATGTGCTGTTGTCTTGCGGTGTGGATGGTCTGGAGCACTTCTAGCCTCTGCTCCTCACTGAAGGCCGCAGAGCCCACTGCCAGCGCCTCAGCCTCTGACAAGCGACCCGAGGGTAGCAGCAGCCGGAACAGGTGGAGTTGGGCCAGTGATGCATACTCAGGAAGGCCCTGGTTATCTGGGTCTTGGAGCCAGGCATCGGCCACATCCAGCACAGCTCCGGGCTCTTTCATTTTGCTGTATAAAAGGATGCTGTGTCCCCAAAAAACACAGTCCCCAAAAAGAAGAATCAGTGCTCTCTAGGGGTTTATCCTCAAAACCACAAATGTCTATAATCCTATCCTCCCAGGTCCTCTAGCCTGTCCCTGTGGGGCATGAACACTGTTAAGAGTTAAGAGACCAGGGGCTAGAGAGATAGCTCAGTGGTTAAGAATACTGACTGCTATTCCAAAGGTCCTGAGTTCAATTCCCAGCAACCACATGATGGCTACAACCATCTGTAATGGGATCTGATGCCCTCTTCTGGAGTGACAATATATATATATATATAAAGAAATCTTTAAAATAATAATAGAGACTGGGGTGGGAGACAGTGATAAGAATGAGCACTGCTCTTGCAAAGTACTGGAGTTTTATTCACAGCAATGACACTGGGCAGCTCGAAAGCACCTTTAACTCCAGCTCTGGGTATCTGAGACCATCTTCTGGTCTCCAAGAGCACCAGCACTCCTGTACACACACACTAATAACTTTTAAAAATAATAACATTTTTTAAGAATTAGAGACTGAGGGCTGGAGAGATGCTCAGAAGTTAAGAGCACTGGTTTTTCCTCCTGGACATCCAGGTTTGATTCTCAGCACCCACATGGAGTTCACAACGGTCTGCAACCACAGTTCCAGGGAATCCAATGCCCTCTTCTGGCATCTGTGGGCATTAGGCACACATGTAGTGCAGACACACAATGCATGCAGTACAGACAAACACTCAGGCCAAACACCCTTACACATAATAAAACAAAACCTAAAATACTTGCTATGCAAGCCTGAGGCCCAGAGTTGGGACCCTCGCAGCCGTGAACAAGCTGGATGTGGCTACACCCACCCCTGTAATCCCAGCACTGAGGGGGAAGAGCCAGGGGGATCACTGGCGCTTGCTAGCTATCAGCCCAGCTAAGAAAGAATGTGAGGTTCAGGGAAAGACCCTGCCTCAAAGGAATAAAGCAGAGAGTGACAGAGGACTCCAAGTGCCCTTCTCTGATCTCCACGTGCACATGCAGGTGTACCCATATGTACACACGCACATATACCACACACATACCACTTATACACATACCCACATACACATAATTTTTTTTAAGAATTAGAGATTCCCCGCAGGCATCAGGAAGCGTGACTGGCTCTGTCCACCTGTCAGCCTGCTTCATTACTATCTTGTGTGTGTGCTCTTTTCTTCTAGCCTACTCCCAAATGCCTGTTTCTCATCCTTAGTTGCCGTGGTGTTAAGGTCTGAACAAGGTGAGGAGACCCGAATTTGAGGGGAACTGACTGGGAATGAGGACAAAAGAGTCAGGAGACCCTGACTCACGAGGACCCCTGATCCCATCCTGACCCAGCTCTAGCACAAGGACATACCACAGCTCCAGGACTTTGGGAGGCAGCTTCTCGGGAACCTGGTAATACTGGAGGACCCAGGACAGGGCTTCTCTCCATCGATCCATTTCGGCCAGAGCCTGGATCCCCACAACACACAGGGAGCATTTCACTTCCTCAACACTGACAACAGAAAACACAAGTCAGATTCAGATGTGTTTCCCCTCTCTCCACGCCATCTTCCACACTGGGAAAGGAAGCCAATGTCAGAAGTCAATAGCCAATTCAGAAGGTACTACCTTTACCTTTTCTGTTATTTATTGGCCCAGACCTCACCACTGGTCTCTTGGGCTGCCCTTCCAGCCTGGAGTTAAGTTCTGGGAACCTTTTAGAGCTACTGCCCAACAGACATCTCTGCATCCGAGTGGAATGAGAATTCAACAACAAAAAGGTAACCATGTGGGAATAGCACACCACGAACATGCAGCAAGTGGAGGAGAGTGGGGGTTGAGAGTGTGCTGACTGAGAAATGGGCTTGGGTGAGGCTTCTGGCTGGGTGCTCATATAGGAACTTAACTGGTCTTTTAGAACTATCTATGTTCAGCCAGACAGTGGTGGCACACGCCTCTAATCCCAGCAACTGAGAGGCAGAGGCAGGTGAATCTCTGAGTTTGAGTCCAGCAAGGTCTACATAATGAGTTACAGGTCAGGGCTACACAGAGAAACCCTCTCAAAATGAAGGGGGAAAAAACCCTATAAAACTATATCCAATGGACATAGGCAAAGCCCTCAACATTCGAGGTGCAGCCTTCATCCCCCTAAAACCACAGTCAAGTCTCTCCAGTGTTTGCTTCTCTGCAGTCAACTCTGACTGTTCTGACTACTCCCTCCTCTAGTGTGGCCTCACACAGCTCTGAGGAAGGTTTACACTCCACAGAGAAATGGTGCCCCCAGCTGCCAGATGAGTCCAATGCATGAGAAAAAGCCATGTAAAACAATCCAAAGGCAATTCACCCAGTCCTTCAACAGGACCAGAGCAGTGTGCTTCTGCCTTGATCCCCCATTTTCCAAGATTCTGCCAAGGCCAGTAATGAATGAGGGTTCCCAAAGGAGTCCTTCTGCTTACTGAACCTCCTTACGACTGAACACTTAACAAACCCTGTCCTCCTGCCCTGAAAAGGTAGGCAACGAATCGGCTGTGGCGTCCCTCCAAACTGTTGCATGATTAGACTTCATTGTACAGTATCACGGGTGCAGGATGAGCAACCAGCCTCTCTCAGAGAGGATCCTCTGGGGAAAGCAAGGTGTAAGGTTGGCACAATCTCGCAATGCCAGAAATTCTGAGACCGAGTTCCTCCCCAACAAGGATCCGGAAAGGAACACTGCCCAGCACGTACGTGCCACTCGCGGGCTCCTCCGCCAGGCTCTGCCAGGCTCGTTCGCAAGTCTCTAGTGCAGCATGGAAGTCCAGGTGCACCACCAACAGGTCGGCCGCCTCTTCCAGCAGGTGCACCGCGGGTGACACGGCCGGGAGGGCGAGCGCGGGCTCGCTGCTCCGCAGAGGGCCCACGAGCCCTTTCAAAGGGGCTGCAGAAGTCGAGACGTCGCTCTTCATAGCCAGCCTGAGTTCGAACAAGTCTCCTCACAGGGCAGGAGGACAGCTTCTCCGGAGCTTCCTGGAAATCCGGAATGGGCCAGGTAGATGACCCGCAAGCTTCGCACTCTTCCCCTCCACGCCTCTCCAGGGCTGTTCCTAGAGACGGACCATGAAGGCGCTGGACCTGGACACAGCCTGCGCTCGCTTCAGCCTAACCCTTCGGGGACTGGCCTGTTCAAGACGTAAGAAGGTGCCGAAGGCCCGACACTAGTTCCTCCTGCCCCTGGACCTGTGCTAAAAGCACCAAAGCTCCCAGAGTAGAGAGCGCTACAACAGAGGACCTGCCCGGGAACCCACGATCAAGTACACCTTCGCCCCACCCACTTCGCCACTTACGACGCACGCGCGCGTCCTGGAGCTCAGGATTCTGGGAGTTGTAGTCCTGGCCTCTTGGGTCTGTGAAGCTTCGGGGAGCCTCTGGCGCCCAGAGACTGTCATCTTCCAGAGAGAACGCACCAGATCACCAGTTTCGGGGTGGAAAAGATGGGGAAGCAGAACCATTAGTAAAATGCCTTTGTCCTGTGAAATGCGATCATTCCCTCGCTAACCGGAAGAGGACGGACGGAAGAAATTCTAGTAAGGAGGTGGAGCTACCTACACCTTTATTTTTAACCTCTAAAGGGATCCGTTGAGAGGGGTCTGCTGGGAACTTAGGTAAGAAGGAAAGGAAAAAGAAAACTCTGTAGTTGGCTATTTCCTCTTCCTGAGTTCGATGCTGCTATAAAGTATGGCACAAGGCAAAAGCGCTTTCTGTCTGTCATTTCTTCATCTCTATGAGTTAAGGACAACTATTACTCTATTTACAGGTGACGTAGGTCACACAATAAATAAGTCACAAAAGCATTATCAAACCAATGAAAGCACTTTTTTTTCTATCTTGGAAGGAGTGTCCGGGCGGAGGTAGAACTGATCTGTGCTTTGTATTCAGCAGATCAACACACAAGTGAGTTACATAAACTGAATCCTCAATTGTTTATGTAAATAAGGCTGTCAAAAAAAAAACTATGCACATGTCATGCAATTCTTCAATACAGTACTGGACCACTGTAAGAGCTGGGTGCGTGTGTGTGTAAATACATATAAATATGTATATTTTATGTTATATTTGTATTGTTTGGGGTACGGAACCACTGTAAGAGCTGGGTGTGTGTGTGAAAATACATATAAATATGTATATTTTTATGTTATATTTGTATTGTTTGTTGAAACAGGGTTTCTCTGTGTAGCCCTGGCTTTCCTGGAACTCATTCTGTAGACCAGGATGACCTCGAACCCAAGGATCAGCCTGCGTCTGCCTCCCAAGTGCTGGGATTAAAGGAGTGCACTACCACGTTAGGCTTCCTATTATATAATTTTACACAGACTCATAAATCACCAATTATCTGTGTGCTTCAGGCAGGATTTCCTAAGTCTTCATTTATACTCGGCCTTCTTGGTTTGACCTCGTCCAGTTCTCTACCTTCTGAGTCTCCCAAGCCCTCCTAGAGTCCCTTGCTCCCTTAGTGACTGGGTAAGACAGCTAGGCCAAGCCTGCTCGCCTCATACATGCCTTTCTCTTGTGGCTAACCCTGACACAGCAGCCTTTAAATCTCTGCAGAAGGTCCTCACACAGCTGAGACAGAAATGGCAAGTCTGTTAAAACCTGGTACTGTGACCGTGTTAGGTGAAAAGGCCAGGATGTCACTTGTTTTTTTTTAAAAAAAAAAAAAAATACTGTTTAATTTTCCTCCACTGAGAATTGGAGAGATGGCTCGGCAGTTAAGAGCATTTGTTTTTGCAGAGTACCTGGGTTCAAGTCCCAACACCCACATAGCAGCTCACAACCATCTGTAATTTTAGTTCCAGGGGATCTGATGCCTTCTTCCTGGCCTCCTGGGGCACCAGGCTTGCACATGGTACACATACATGTAGGCAAAACAGTCACACACATCAAATAAGATGAATAAATCTCATATATATTTTTTTACTTTTCTACATGTGTTTATGTGCCTACATGCAAGTGCCACAGCGCACATGTGGAGGTCAAAGGACACCTACAGCAGACAATTCTCTCCTTCCTCCTTTTGTCTTGGAGACCAGTCTCAGGTCCGACTTGGTGGCAAGCTCTTTTACCCACTAAGCCATCTCACTGGCCCCATACATACTTCCTGATGCCAGTAGATGGCAGGCACTGTCCTAGATCCTGAGGGCCCCACAGAAATTAAGGACAAAGCCCTGGTGAGCTTATATCATAATGGAAGGAAACAAACCACAAAAATAAGCAAATGCTTATTAACAAACAAGTATGCATGTCCTGATCCAGCCAATCCTGAGGTCGATGTAGGAAGATTATTTTAAGGCCAAGAATTAGAGACCAGCCAGGACAACCCAAGAATGTATGTATGTATGTATGTATGTATGTATGTGTAAATATAAGTATACACACACACATTGAAGCCTGCTCCCCCAGTATAGCTGCAGCCATTTTGTTCCATGCCTGCCAGTCATTTCATATTGTTACTGACACAGAAAAATAGCGTGACTCAGAGCAGGTCAGTCTGACCATATACCCTGTTATGTTTTGAGGTTTGTTAATCTTAAGAAATTCCAGAACCATAAGCTTTGCTTGGGACTAGTCAAAACAAAGGTCAGTTAGAATTATTCTAGCTAGCCAGCCAAAATGACCTGAGTCAGAGCTGACCACCGGGCAGCACTTCTTGCACCTACACATGCGCTCAGTGTGGTTTTTGCCTTTATAAACTGGCTGTGGGAAACATTCATGGTCACAGTCAGCTCCTGAGTCTGGTCTGTAGCCATGATCATTTTGTCCTGGAGTGAATGGTCAATAAACTATCCCTGTCTGACTGAGATCAATGTACGTGTGGCATGGAGTGACTCTTGGACCCCAACAATACATACATACACACATATGTACATATATACATACATACATACATACATACATACATACATACACACACACACACACAAACACACATGCATTCACTTAAGTGAGTAAAATACATGCAACAGTGTTGTTAGATGATAAAGACTAAGGAGAAAGAGAAGGGAACCATGGGGCACCATGGAGAGACCAGCACAATAGGTGCATTTGCCTTTGTCTTCTAAGAGGAAGTTCAAAGACAGGGACAGAACACAAAAAACAGGGCCTTTTTGCTCTGCATTGGCCCTTGTTGTTGGAGTCAGTACTTGGAGCCTCCCATTTGGGATCAATATATTCTCTGCATCATTGTGAGGAGACCGTCTTCCTCCACAGACAGCATTTGTTCTCCTGCAGCAAACACTAGAACAAAGCAGAGACACTTGGAATGTGAGTTGCAGAGATTGAGGCTGCCGAAATGTCCCGTCATCTCTGCCTCCAGTTGAACATTAAGTGGTAAAGATCATTAGTAATAACATAATTACGGGATTGCAAAACATAACAGCTCATCTGTTTCTCAACCTGAGTCTTTGTTTTAAAAAGAATTTTCTGTGGATGAGCATTTTGCTACACATACACCCACGTGCCATGTGCACGCCTGGTGCCTCACAGAGGCTGAAGGACTGTGTTCTGTCTGTAACTGGTGAATCCCCCATGTGAGCACGAGACTCAAACTTGGAGCCTCTAGAAGAGCATCAAGTGCTACTAACCTCTGAACCATCTCTCATGCCCCTCAAACTGAGCTTAAAAGTGTGCCCTGAAAAAAACAGAACAGCAGGGATTGGGAGATGGCTCAGTAGGTAACTCGCTTGATGGTCAGTTACAAGTATGAGGACCTGAGTTTGGATTCTCAAACCCTCACATTAAAAACAAACAAACAAACCGAAAACCTGGCATTGGAAGTGGAAGCAGGAAGATCTCCGGGATTTGTTGTCTGTCCAAGATAGCCAAAGCTGTGCGCTCCAGTGAGATCAGTGAGAGACAGGATCTCAAAAATTACGTCAACTCAGTGTCAACTTCTGGCTTGTGTGTGTACGCATAGAGTGAGGGAGAGGAAGGGGAAAGGGGAGGAGAAAGGAGGGAGGGAAGGAGGGAGGGAGGGAGAATAATCAGAACTGGAAGAGCAGCAAAGACAGGTTTACATATAGACAAAGTGAAACTGCCACTACACCACTATGTAACTGAGGCCTGGAAATTTCCTAACAAATTCCTCGCTATTCCTCATTTGTCCAGCAGATGGCAGAACAGCCTTAAATTTTTTTTTTCCTTGCCAGAAATAAATTTCTATTTAGCAGTACAGTGACTAGAATGAGGTCAAGCTATTTAAAGCAGGAGTGGGATGTGCTAAAACTCACATTAAAAAAATAACATTGCATCAATATGTGCTGAATGCATGTGTTAAAACATCACAGAGGCCGGGCGGTAGTGGTGCATGCCTTTAATCCCAGCACTTGGGAGGCAGAGGCAGGCAGATTTTGTTGTTGTTGTTGTTGTTTTTGTTTTTTTGTTTTTCGAGACAAGGTTTCTCTGTGTAGTTCTGGCTGTCCTGGAACTCACTCTGTAGACCAGGCTGGCCTCGAACTCAGAAATCCGGCAGGCAGATTTCTGAGTTCGAGAGTTCGAGGCTAGCCTGGTCTACAGAGTGAGTTCCAGGACAGCCAGGGCTACACAGAGAAACCCTGTCTGGAAAAAAAAGAAAGAAAGGAAGGAAGGAAGGAAGGAAGGAAGGAAGGAAGGAAGGAAGGAAGGAAGGAAGGAAGGAAGGACGAGAAAACATCACAGAGGAACCCATTGTTTTGTACAATTAATACACAAAATAAAAACAAGCACGCGCTTCATTTATTTGTCTCACTTGATCGACAGCTATACATATGGAGCTTGATAGTGGTCTCTGTGTTCATAACCTTTAAAAATCATGTTCACAAACTAACTCAACACACCACTGCTGTGACCCATAGTTCCCCTCCTCTGGGTATACCCAGAATTTCTCAAGTGAAGACATATCAATTCTAAACAGAGGGCGGTCCACTCTATGTATGTGAGAATGAACATGTATACCAGACTGTATCTGGCCAGCCAGATTTCTCCCTGACTGTATCAAGGGCCACGGGACAGGATGTTTGGCAAGTACCTACTCTCTCTCATTGGCTCATCCTTGAAATACACTAGGAGTAGAAATAAGTACAGTTCTCCCAGTCAACAGGGCCTGGCCCCAGTTAGTGTCTATAATGGAGGGATTATCTCATTGTGGGGGAAACCAGCAGAGCGAATGAGATATCAGTCACCCCATCACAGCCCAGCTCCTAGCACCTGTCTGTGACTTGGTGTTCTTCCTTCTTGGTGACAGCTTCGGGACTCAGTTCACAGCACCTCTTCTCAGGCA